GAAGCGACCCTATGTTGATGGACTTTTCGCTATCACATCGGCACCTGTCTGTGCGTCTATATTAGTCGCAGAATATAATGTCCATCCGTAATTCGCCATAACCTGTATCATCTTCATAACTAGCAAGCGGTTTCGAACCCCGTCCTCTCCTCCTGGGTTTTGCCAGGGAAACCCTTTCAGTTTCATAGTGAAGATATTGTCTTCTACACGCGCTTGTTGGACTCCTTTCCAGTTCTCGAACACCACGTATTTCATCGCTAAATGGACATAAATAGTGAACTAAGAACTTAAGAATTTAGAAAACTGAACAATCAACTTCATTTAGAACTTAGAAGGTAGAAAAATTAACAATCAAAGGACATAACTGCAACATTTTGCATCCACAAAACCGAAAAAACGTATGAAACCAACTTCATATCCTATGCCGACCAATACAAAGACTAACGAGGATAGCTGGTTGCTATGTAAGTAGCACAGAATGCTCCTACCATATTCATGAAAAAATAATCATAAAGAAAGGCAAAAAAAATCACTTATTTAGTCAAACTGGCAAAATCTGTCTGAAAAGCTGAATGATAAAAATTAAAAAGAGAAAAATTACAATGTTTTTTAAAATTTTTGCACACAATTTCGTTAAGTTTTTTTTTTGGAAAACCTTTACGTCAAGAAAGCGTCAAATGAAACATCAAAAACTAGTTTTTTCTATAAAATTTTGTATAACAATCTTAACTCGATCGCTTTGCTCGCTTAAGAAAAATCAAAAAATTTGAACCGATTTTTCTCGACACTGAGAAATGTTTTAATTAATACTTTCTAGGTTCGTTGGACTCAACTTTGAAGAGACTTCAATTTACTCTACGACCCATTCAGATGATTATTTTTGGCACCTGATTTTGCCTAGAAAACAAAAAAAAAACGAAAAACAAAGAAAAAACTAAAACACCCCCGATTCAAGTTTCTTTCCATTTTCAATGGTCGGAACAACAACAATAAAATGTTTTAAAACTTCAACTGTTTACAAAATCTCAGGAAGAAAACACTACAATTTCTCAATTTTTGGATTGCTGGATGGAAATTCTAATCCAAAAATCCAAAAGTTCATGTGCCTTTCGTTGGTTTTTACATGGTTACATGGTTACGAGCAAAAAATACCTCATGGGTATTTTCTGTTATACCGCCTAAATTGTCAATTTGTCAAAATTTTAATTGAGCTTCTGTTTTTTATTGAAAAAGCTAAGATATATTTTCCCTCACATTAGCTTGCGCCGTGTAACAAAAGATCCAAAGTCATTTTTAGAAATCAAAACAAACAATTTGATACCCTCGTTGATTTCAGGAGGAAGGTTGAAGAACTTCAACTTGTCCCAGCCCCACATGTCAATAGCACAGAACTCTATGTCATTCGCCACAGTGGTAGGCGACTTGTAGAAGAACCACGCACTCAAACTACAGTACCAGTTCACATCCGAAGACATTATCTTGATGTATCCCGATCTAGACAGTTCTTTTAGCAGAATACAGGCAAAGTGGACAAACTGGGCGTGGTCTGATGATTGGGGCCAGAAGGGGTTTCCTAGAACAAACACAAAACCAAAATTTGAATTTTTGTGAATAGAAAGCGGGTTAGGCAACAAGGACGCTCTCGTTCTTTTTTTGTTCTTTCATTCTCATTGGTCGTTCTGGCAAAATTTTGACATAATTAAATAATTGTCTCTGGATTCCAGAGGCCTACAAATACCAAATTGTGCGACTATCCAGTGCAGAGTTTGGCGTCGTAATGCACGAATTTCATTTATTACAGTTATTCTCGACCTCTTTCGCGGAACTTTGAAACATTTCGAAAGTTTTGACGACCTTTTTTTTGTTTTTTAAGCCGATAAGTTCGGTTAACTGAGCGGTCTCAGCAACCCTACAATGCTCTTTTTTTGAAAAAAAAATTAATAGATTCGTTTTGAGCAGTTTTTGGAAACTTGTTGACTTACAATTTTTGATTCTTTGGCGCGCGCTTCCCTTCAAAATTTGTATACAATGGCGCTAACTGCGCAAACGAAAATTTTTAAGGGGCTGGTTGCCAAAAAAGAAGGCCAAAAAGTACGGCTGCATATCTTTTTGCCTCAAAGCGATTCCAACTTGCCTAACATGCTAATTTGTCCAATGCCATTCGGTTCCAGATAATAAACAAACAAAACTTCTTTGATATCCTCGTAGATCATTTTGTGGGTATGAAGATGAACAAAATTTTTCTTGAACAAATAAGCCTGAAAAATGCGGAATCATTGAAACATGTGTTGAATCAAAATAAGTCCAAAGCATCCATGAACAAATTGAAAACCTCAAAACTACAACGCGACCTTCATGTCGAGTTAAACATGAGGAAAGAGACTTTTAGCACAGCACTCATTAAGAGTCCTTTAGCACAACACTCTTAATCAGGAAGTCAAGAATTGAAAATTTGAAGAAAGCAAAAAACTTAAGTATGAAAACGCCCCTAACACCCCTATACTGGATAACCCAGTTATTCTTACTGGAGTATTAACTTTTACAAACTTATAAAATTGATTGGATCATCTACGTTAGCGATAAGTTAAATGAAGTAATGAGTTTCTAAAGAATAACAAGACTGCTCGTATCAGGGCGAAGCCCTGAATGTTCCGACTGCCTTTTAAAGCTTTATGGAGCAGTAATAATATTAAAAATTTCAATTTTTAGAAAAAAAAATTTCATTTTTTTTTTACATTTATTTTTTTTTAAATAAAAATCATCACCCCACAAGCCAAATAAAGTACAAAAAGATAGATTTTGCTCCTTGTAACATAACAATTATGGTAAATAAGCTTCTTTCAACCAATTTGGAACGATTTTAAGACGGATTAACTCTCCGCTTACGCGTTAATAGCGCGAAATATATCGCGCGTTAATTGTTCCAAATTGGCCAAAATGGCAATCTTTAAACCCTCATACCTTTACGAAAAATGATCACAGGTAAAATATCTTTTCAAATTTGAGCTCAGGACCTTTTGAATGATATAAAAAAATTCCGTCAAAAATGGCTAGTTAAAAAGTCGAAATTTGTCTGAAGAAAAAAAAACCCACCCCGAGCACAAATATTCCGTTACTTTCGTATCAAAAGTCGGAACAATAATTTTAAAATGCACAAAAGGCCGACAGTAAAATGATGTTAAGCCGAAAAAATAAAAACTAAGATAAAGTTAAGTGAGCTAGTGATCTGATTTCGATCTGATTTCGAGTGAATCAGTTAAATTATTTTTCGAAATGGAAATTTTTTTAGTTCGCAAAGAGCTAGCCAAGGCAGTAATTAACACGTGGAGCCCTTGCAAGACTTTTTGCTGCTTTTTCCGATCTTGATTCTGTGTTTGTTGATTTTCTGATTTTTAGAGTCCATTTTAAATTTATTCAGGAAATGGTAGAGGCTTGGGTTGGTCCCTTGAAAAAATGCTGTCACTCAAGGATACCAACCTTCAACGGCGTTCTTTGTTCGTATCGAACCTTCGGCTGCTTCTTGGAAATGGTTGCAGAAATTCAAAGGGAATAACGGTTGCCTGCTGTTTCACTCTTTTGTTTCGCCTTTTAAATAGCTTCTCTGAAATTATGAGTCAAGTACGTCAATTTTAACTGTGAAATTATGAAATTTATCTGACAGGCTTTGAGCAAGACGTAATCGGTCCAACAAATGTTCAATCTCCCCAAAAAGGCTCTCGAATGATAATTCCACTAATACATCTGAAGAAAAGGGAGAGAAGTCCTTAAACGGAAGGCTTTCTTTGAGCTCGTTAAACTTGCGTAGAAAAACTTGATTGAAATCTCTGGAAACGCACTTGTAACAGCGTTAGCGGCAGTTTTGTTAGTTCAGTTTTGTTTGGCAGTAGAGCACAAATACAAGGTGACTAAAATCTATCTATTCAAAATGTGTAGTATAAAGCTGGTAAAATTGCATCGGGCAATTTTTAACTTAAATGCCGCCTAGCTAAAGTGAATTGTGAGCTGGGTTGGCCTGAAAGTTATCTCGATCAACAAACGTTAAAGTTCGCCCAGAAATACTTACTCCACTGTCGAATAAACATAAATCAGAATGCTCCGTTGGAATTATAAAATGCCTTTCTTTAAGGATTGGCAAGGTGAGATCAAGTTTTTTCTGACGGTTCTGTTTAAAAGTTCTGTTTAGTGCTGCACTACTCAACAAGGATAATTGAACTGCGTTGAATCATAGCATTAATGTTGACTAATTAGGAACAAAATAGTAGAACAATGACGCAAAATGAAAGAATACACGATTTTCTTTCTGTTTCAATGGCGATTATTGTGGATTAGTGTCAAAACTTGGCTTGTCATTGCCAAAAATTATAATTTTTTAAGCTCAGCTTAAATCATTTTCGAATAGAGTCTTTTTTTATCTCAAAACGAGTCCAGTCTACGTTATCACTTGCTGGTTCTCCATTCGAACATCAAAAGAAATGAGTAAAAGGGTTAATTATGGGACAAAGCAGTATAGAATAAAAGATAAATACAAATACAATACACTTAAAGCTAGAGCCGTCATTCTTCCAGAAAAAAGATCAAACCTGATCCGTTTTTTTTCTCGCTTGATTGATTTGCGTGTGCTTCATGGAAACACTGAAAGTTATGTTAGTTTCCGGTAAGCTGTTCCAGCACACAAAAATTTGTTGCAAAATCCAAAGTCTTGCCTCTATCTTCATTTTCACTTATTGAGTATCAGCCGAAAGTTTTTTTTTTCGTTTTTACACTTGTCAAAACTTAATTTTGTACAGTTTTTTTTTTAATTCAGTTGAAAAAAAAATGGTGCATTACGCTTCTTTCTCGCATCAAATTCATGTCATGATTTTAACAAAATTATAACTGAAAACTTAATTCGAAATTCAGTTTCTTTTTTTTCATAAACGTAAGAGGGTTGATTCCAAAACAGTGTAAAACTCACTGCTCATGTGTTATGGGCATGCAAAAACTATCGATTTCGATTTGATTTCGAGTGAATCTGTTAAATTATATTTCGAAATGGAAATTTTATTAGTTCAAAAATAGCTAGCCAAGGCAGTAATTAACACGTGGAGCCAATAGCTGTACACGTACCACAGATAATTTCTATCATGGTATCTATAGACTAAAGTAATTTTGAAAAAAAAAACATTTTTTCAATTGTTTGATGTTTTTAGACTGTTGCTTTTAATTTAATAAAGGTCTTCAAAACTGCTTAACAACCCACACACTCTTTGTTTTTTGTTGAATAAACGTTTTTTGTTGAATAAAAAAGTTCATTAATTATGGGGAAAAATAATTTCTCGTTTATTTTACTCAATCAGTTCTATGCTCAAACAAACATTGAAACCTAAAACGCAGTCCAGACACTGTTTGTTTCGTCACGAGTCCAAACTGCGCATTGGATAGGCGCACAACTCGATAAAATTCCATACAATCGATAAAAAAAGCCCAGGGAAAACTGCCAAAATTGCATATCACGCAAACTTTATACAATTTTTTCCTGCTCTACCCGCACTGACAAAAATGGATTAGGTCGATTTTAGTATTAAAAAAGTACGTTGAGTAAATTTAGATCGATTTTAGTATGAAAAAAGTACGTTGATTAATTTTAGGTCAATTTTAGTATAAAAAAAGTGTGAACATAAAACAAAAAAGATGAAGATTCATTTGGATCGATTTAAAATCGATTTAAATTAATCTTAAATCCCAGCTAAAAAAAATTGATCCGAATCGATTTTAAATCAATTTAAATGAATTTTTTTCCAGTCTGATTTTGTTTTAATTTTAAGGGGATTAAAACGGATTTAAATCGATTTATATCGATTTTTTTATTTGAGATTTATCAGTTTTGAAATTTGATTGCATTTATTCATTGCCTATCATTTTTTATGTTACATCCATAGCGTATTGTAGCATAAAAAAGACCGAATAAAAAGACCAAAATATCGATAAAATTCTTTGATTTTCTTGCATACTTTGAGTTCAAAAACTGATCTATATTGACCCTTTTCTTGATTCGTTTTATAAGTTTTGCCCAAAATCTGATTCATTATCATATCTTTCTATGATATAATTGCATATTAACGCGATCAAAATTTAATTTATTCTGATCTGTTTCTTGTTTGTTACATAGGATTTTGCAAAATCTGTTTCACAACAATTTTCTCTAACTTCATTGCCTTTTTTCGTGCTTGAAACTGATTTATGTGGATAATTTTATGGAATTTTATAACATCTGGCACGAGTGCTTACATTTTAAAATCGAGAGTAAAAACTTCCAACAATTTTTCAAAAGGTATGTTTTGTTCGCCTTGTTAGCGAAAAAAAATCTACTTTAGTGGGTCGGAAAATTCATCGAAATCGATTTAAATCGAATTTTTAGACACTTAAATCGATTTAAAATTTTCAAAAATATCGATTTAAATCGATTTAAAATGGATTTAAGTGAGATTCTGATGGGTTTAAGTGAGATTCAGATGGATTTTAGTGAGTCGGAAAATCCAACGAAATCGATTTGAATCGATTTTTTAGACTCTTAAATCGAATTAAAATTTTCAAAAAAGATCGATTTAAATCGATTTAAAATCCATTTAAGTTCGTAAAATGTACATGGTTAATCGATTTGGATCGACCGGAAACCATTTCTGTCAGTGCGGGTAAGTAGTCGTATGACATGAGTTTCCTCCGTGAAATTCGTATGACTGGCATTTTTTTTTAGTTTGGGTCAACCATTTTGAATTGTATCTAAGAAACTAAAAGTTTTGCGGCGTTCGAGCAGAAAAAAAGAGCCTCAATTTTAACATTCTGTATATTTCGCACAATCTTTAGCCGTATAAATTGATTTTTGCAGAAGCTATCTTGGGACTTACAGTCTGAAAAATTATTTTTTCCTTTATTAGGTCATTTGCACACTTAATAATTAACTATGTGTTCAAATTTCTCCCAATTTCTTACCTTTCAACTTGAATGTGATCACATCTGACACTCTGCTTTCTCTCTGAATCCCCTTCGGCCAATTGTACATTATACATGATCTTATTTGGCCAACCAGCTGTTCATCTGCATTGAACACATTCAACTGGTCCCAGTAGAAACTGATGACGCAGAATGGCACATTTGGGTTGTTTGTTGCCAGTCGTGAATAGGTTTCTCCCATTTTTTTTTGTAAAATTAGGATGAAAGAGTGGTTCTAATAACTTGGAGGGAGAAACTTTATTGATCAAATCAGAAAGGTAACTTGTTAATAGTAACTTATGGACTTAAATTGAGTCTTCTTTATGACATCGTGGATTAATTGGAACAATCAACAATTATTGGTTTGAAAAAATTAATATTTTTTAATGCAAATAATTTATGAAAGATCCTACGACAATTTTTGCAATCATAAACTTTTGATATCTGAAAATCAGGGTTACATGTCAGTATTTAGACAGCCGCGTATTCATACTGGTCAGTATTTAGACAAATACTGTTTCAACCAATCAGAATCGAGACAAAGAAGAAATTAATAAATAATTATTATTTATTTTGGATTATTTATGTTTTTTCTCGATTCTGATTGGTTGAAACAGTATTTGTCTAAATACTGACCAGTATGAATACGCGGCTGTCTAAATACTGGCCGCACTCCGAAAATCAGTTTGTTTAAAAAACAGAAATTCAACGTATAAAATGAGTCTAAAAACGACAGTAACGGAGTAAAATTGTAATCTGGACTGAAATGAAAATGATCAAGTCGTCTAGTCTACTTTAACGCCAAACAAATGGTTGAAGCTACTTATTCACATATCAAACTATGAAGGCTACATTTTATGCATAGAAAATTTGAGCCATTACCAATATTTACCAAAGAAAGTAGCATGTTGTAATGGCATATATAAGCTTTGATCACGGTTATTCCTTATTTTGCAGTTTCATGCAGATAACGTATTTTATTTTTTCAACGCTTGGCAAAATATATTTGCAGCGAGCGCGGTTGATTTTTTTTTCTCTGGACAAAAAGTCAACGCTACAAAGCAATCTATCTTTTTATACTAACGGCACTGCGGTTGAAAAAACAATTTCAAAGACTTAGAGCTAGTCCAAGACTTTGTTCATCCGGAAAACTTGTTTGCGGATCAACAATAAGAATATGAGTAATATCGTTCAAGTAGCGAATGAAAATAAACTTTTGAACAGAGTAATCACTGCAAAAAAATAATAAAGTCGTTTTTTCATTCCAACCACTACATTTATGTCTGTAAACAGTACTTCCATTCCATATATTATTACATGTACACCATTTGTCCATTTCTTGACCTATTCCAGACTTCGGGTGCGGTTGAAAAAAGACAATATTTTATTCATACTTTTCAAAAAGTAGACAACAATTATACATACCAATCAGAATCGAGAACAGAAAGCAAAGTTAAGAAATAAAAAACTATTGATTAATTTTTTTTAAGTTTGCCTCCTGTTCTCGATTCTGATTGTTTAATATCGTAGTTGTCAATTTTTTACGTGTCTGCTTTGTGACTTGTCTACATTTTGCTACGTAACCACCAGACCTGTACACTGATATTAGCTAAACGAGCATGCATAGAAGTTGGCAAACCTTCACAACACATGACTGAGAACTGAACAGACAATGCTTCCGGGTTAATGTTAGACGACAAGCGAATTAGGCTACTAGAAGAAAGTCAGCGCATTTCGGCGAAAACTTGCGTGCAAGTTGCGTGAAAACTGAGTACATGCTTGAGTTATTTTTTGGCTGAGCAAACGCTGGTCGAAATGCAAATCAAATTTTTTAATGTCAAATTTGTAAAATTATGCATTTCAAGTTTTTTCAATTTATTATTTTTTTTCAATAAATTCATGTTTAAAAACTTTGATGGGTTCTGTAATAAAACACTCTTCTTTTTCTGTGTAATATCACTCAAATAAAAAAAATGGTTGACCTAAATCATGTCGACTAATTCATAAAAAGATATTGAGTATCAATTCCCACATTTTTGGTCGTCTAATTTGCTTGTGGGCTATTTTAGTAGGCCCTTGTTTCCACATGACTGAGAGTTCGACAAAAATAAATCAAACAATTGGTATTTAAGCTCAATGTATATCGGTTACATGTCAGTATTTAGACAGCCGCGTATTCATACTGGTCAGTATTTAGACAAATACTGTTTCAACCAATCAGAATCGAGACAAAGAAGAAATTTATAAATAATTATTACTTATTTTGGATTATTTATGTATTTTCTCGATTCTGATTGGTTCATACAGTATTTGTCTAAATACTGACCAGTATGAATACGCGGCTGTCTAAATACTGGCTGCACTCCATGTATATCTTTCTCCCGGGTTGACTAAAAACGCTACTCATACCTTTTACACTTTTCATATGTGGAAAAATGCTAACTAAACACTGTTCATGCAATTCCACACGCAAGTACAGAAAAGCGAATGAAAAGTCTATGATTGTGATTTTTTATATATATGGAAATTTTATGCCAAGCATTTTCCCATAAACCAAAAAAAAACTAATTTTTAAAATTTAATTTCCTAATATTTTTGGAATGTGTTCGTGACCGAACACAAGTGACAAAAACCAGGGTTTTCTCAAAATTAGAATCACCTAATGCACTTTAATGCATTGGAAACGACCTGAATTAAATAAAAGTTTTCTTACACAAATTACATACTGAACTCATCAGATTTTGATGATTATTTTCAAAATTTGAATTTTTAATTTATCAGAAAGTGATAAAGGCTCGCAAAAACATGTCATAGAGAATAATAGGAGTTTTAGCGTTTTTAAAACGTTATGCACACTAAAAAAAATTGCATGCAAAACAAAAAAAAACTAATTTTCGGGGCTATTTCAAAAATTACTTAGACAAAACTTGTTGCAGCCATCAAAAAAAATACTAGTCATACAATTTCCAAATATGGAAGGAATTTATAGGGTTAAGACTTTTTGTCAAAAAAGTTTTTCTTTTCTAAAAGGATACACCTAGATACGAAATACCGACTTTTATGCCAAAGCAAGAAAAAAAAGCTCTTTGAAAGTTCGATAACACCATTTTAGCAAAATGTATAAAATTTAAAATTTGTATGATTAGTTTTTTTTCATAGACTAAGGTTTTGTAACTGTATGATTAGCATTCTTGGTCTATGGAGGTCAACCCCGGCTTACACGCAATTCCAAATTTACTCTAGCGTTTTATTTATTCTCTTGCTCAATACGGAAATAATTAGATTCAACTAGAATCAAAACAGCAACCCATTTCGATTTTTTCTTTAGTGTTACCGGCCAAAGGTACAAAGATTTATTCAATTTTCCCCCATTCACCAACAGGTCTCTTGAATTAAATCAATTTAGCTCAGAAAAGGTCCTAATTTTTTGCATATCAGAAATTATTTTAATCACCTCTTCTTTCAAAAAACAAGAAAGTTTACTTTACCCTTGATTTAAACGACGACTTATTTACAAAAATAACTTTTAAAAAACAAATGGTGAGTTTTCTACCAGGAAACAGTTTTTCTCTGTTTTTTTGCTTAGGGGTTTTTTTGAAGATGAAATCAGAATCTACAAGTCCCAAAAAAAACCTGATTGTCGTGATAAATTTGTTAAATAGCCATGATAATAAAGACACGCATCAGTCTTTACCAGACCAGGCTCTATTAGCAAGAAGACATGACAAGAAAATTTGCAAACGATTCAAAAACGATTGAAGAGCGACTATTTGATGAAAAATTGAAGTACGATACAAAAAACAATTAAGAAAATTGTCACAGTTTGAAGAGATTGAAAAATGAAACGGTTGAAAATATTTATTTGAATTTAGAGTTATTCCCAAGCCGTCTATACAAAACGTTTATTAGACAATTGATTTATTTGAAACGAGATAATTTGCCTAGCCGATTATTTCAAACGATTATTTGACGAGAATTTTATTTGAAACGGGAGATATTCGATGGTTTGAAGCAATTACTTGAAACGTTTGACGACTATCCGAAAGCAGAGCCTTAACAGTTTTAATCAGCTAAGTTACTCCAAATTATGCAATTGTCCTCAAGTGCCCCGAATGACGTTCTCCAAGAAAAATGCATAGCATACAATTTAATTTATGCTTATCATACAGTTTTCACTGAAAAAAAATGAGTGACAAGTTTTTTTCGGTCAAAAGTTTTCTTTCGAAATTTCTTTTAAGACCCTTTTTTAATTGCGAACTTGTTTCTGTGCTCAAAAATACTTTTTTAAAAAAAAATTGCATGCAAAAAGTGACATTTTCTGCCTATAATGTAGTCCAGGTTGAGTTTTTGAGCCAAAAATTGTTTTTGATGAAAACAACTCTTTTTTGTTTTGTTTGCCAAGATAATGTAATACAGGCCTCTTTTTTCAACTACCAAATCTTTCAAAGTAAAGTTTTCATAGATTTTTTTGGTATATAATTCTGTGTGAACAAGTTAACAATAACCCACATTGCTTATATCACCAAGTTTAGCTTATCTTCGCTTAACTGCCAGTTTCACGCTGGGTTTTGTTATTGTTCTATTTTTATTTATGGGAAATTGGTTTTTCACTATTTCATAGCTTTGAAAAAAAAGCTAATCATGCAATTCATAGTACTAAAAGTTGCGTTTGCTTTTTTCATTAACTTTTACGATCAAATTTTTTTGGCAAAAATATCTTCAGACATTTTATTTAACACATTATGTACCCTCTGAGGGTATCGATCTTCTGCTCAAAATGAAATCAATCTGCCTGCTACATTGCAAGTTTTGGCAATTCAAAAACTCATCAAATCAGTGAATCACATTTATCAAAAAAGTTTGTCGCGAAAAGGAAAAAAAAACAGATTTAAACGCCTTTATAAAGTAAAAACGATCATATTTTTACGGACATCCAAAATTTTTTTTATTTTTTTGCAGAAAAAAGAGCTTAATTGCCTTCATATGGCCGAAAAATGGTTTTTGAGAGACTATGAAGCGTTGTTGTTGTTGTTTAAAGAATCCGTTTTCAAGTATAATGGAGTTTGTTGCCCAAGTTGGTATCACATTATCAATCATACTGACAACTTTTTTGGCAACTTTTTGTATCATTCTTCCGACTTTCGAAGAAAGTGATCGAACATTTCTCGCGGTGCCTTTTTTCTCCAGACAAGTTCCGACTTTTTAACTAGCGGTTTTGACAGCATTTTTTTTATCAGCCAAAAGATTTTGATATCTTGAGCTCAGATTTAAAAAATGTTTCGCCTGTGATTTTTATTCGTTCAGTTATAAGAGTTTGATGGCTGCCAATTTGGCACAATTGGCACATTAACGTTTGATATATATCTTTTTAGTAACGCATAAGCGGTAATTAAACCCGTCTTAAATATTGATCTAAATTGGTTGAAGCCGGCTGTTTATCAAAATTGCTACGTTAATAGGAGCAAAGCGCATATTTCTTATTTTATATGGCGTGTGGGTATCTGAAAATCTCAAAGAACTGCAATTTTTTTATTGCAAGCAATGCTCGTTAGACCTAGAAAAAGGCAGTCAGAACATTCAAGGTATCGCAGTCTGGTTTTACCTATGTATTCAGATTTACCCGGAAACTTCGATGCGGGCAACTAACCTTTTTTCTCAACTAGTTTCTTCGACCATCCGTCAAAATTGCATCCCTGTCCTTCAAATTACTCTCAAAAAATCCAGTAAAAACATAAAGACAATTTCCCTTAATTTCATAAGTTGAAAACCAAAAGTAGAATATTTTTTGTCTCGTGACGTCAGTTTTTGTCATGCTTCAAAAGTCTCGGTTTTTCTGAACAACTCAGCAACTCGATTGTTTGCCGAGGTGTTCAAAATCGCTTATCATGCACTTTTCATCCAATTCCATGAGTACAGAAAGTTGCATGAGAGGTCTATTATCAGTTTTTATATATCGAAACTGTATGACTAGTATTTTTCCATAAACCAAAATTTACCA